TAATTTTTGTTACTACCAAAACTAAAAGAAAAAAAAAGTAAATTTGTTAAGATTATGGAAAATTATAATGTTATGACAATTAAAATGTTAGAATTAATGTAATTATTATAACTAATAATAAAAAGATTAAAATATTTTAAATAAATTAATAAAAATATTTATTAAAAATATTTAAATAATTTTTTTTAAAAATTAACAATTAAAATAGGAGAATATTTTGATTTTTACTATTCTTAAATTTGTATAAAAAGTGTAAAATACTCATAAAATTAATTAAATATTTATTTTTTATTTTTTTATTAATAAGAAATTCTCTTTGTGTCTGTTCATTCATTTAGAAGATTCAAACTCGTGATCTTGTTTAAAAGAAATCAAACTTCTTCCACTTATACTAATACGTCATTAGTAATTAAATATTCATAATATCTTTTTCTATTAAGTAAAAAGAGTTATATAATTTAAATTAAATTAAATTATATAATTATAATTATTAAATGAAAATAAGTGTTTTAATATTAGCAATTCTTTTTTATCTAATAATTTTTATTTTATAATTTAATACAATATAAAATATAAAATAAAGACCTCAATTAATTCATTAAAAATATTTAATTAGTAATTTTATAAGAAATTTTATACTTTTTCCTTAAACATAAAAGTCCGCCGCCCAAGAAAGAATTTTTTCTTTAATTTATTTATATCAAGCTTCCAACTTCTGTTTTGCGGTTTGATTCAGTGAAGGGAATCGGTGGAAGAAAAGCATAACAATGGGGAAGTTTGCATTCGCCCCTTGGTTTCACAAGAAGATCGTCGATCCTCTTCTCTACATACTCCGAAGGTAATCTCCTTCTCCAGTTTCGGATGAAATGTTGCAGCTTTGATGGATTTTTTGATTGATCTTTCTTCTTCGTTTATTTATTGCCCCTTTTCCGGCAGGGGAGCTGAGCCAAAGCAATTGGCATTCTCGGCAGCTCTGGGTATTACCTTGGGAATATTTCCCATATGTGGTATGATAATTTTACATTGAGCTTTGATTGCTTGCGATTTGAGTTTTTATGAATTTTTTGGGGGGTACTTTGTTTATCCTGATCAAAATGTGGGATTTTTATCCGTTTTCATATCATTATTTGTTTTAAGATTTAAGATGGTATGGATTAGTGTTGTACAATCACGTTGTGTTCTCTTCTTTATATCTTTAAATGAGGGCTGTTGGATGTTTGCTGGAGTTACTGAAATGAGCATTGTGGTGTTTATAGGGGTCACAGTGTTACTATGTGGGATGGCTATTGCAGTCCTTGGATCTCTCTGCCATTCCCCAACTGTGATGCTTGCTAACTTTGTTGCTACTCCTATAGAGTTGAGGTACTTATGTATTTTCTGGATTATGACTTCTATGTTGAATCTCCTAATTGTTGAAGCAGAAAAGTTCCACCCTTTTAAATTGTATTGCTTACATGATTCTGCTTTCATTATTCTAGTGTAATCTGATACACTAGTTATTGGTATTACTGTGACTGAGGATCAGATGTAACCCTGTATGAGAAGAACAACTTCATCTCAGTTTTGCTTGGTGTTTCATCTCTTGTCCTGATTTCCTTTAACTTGTTCTGCTTTGAAGTCTGGTTGTGCCCTTCTTGCGTTTTGGTGAAATGATCTCTGGTGGATCTCGTTTTCCATTAAGTTCTGATGCTCTGAAGAAGGTCGTGACTGGGCAAGCATCATGGGAAGTCGTACTGAGTATTGCCCATGCTGTAAGTAGCCAAAAGATTTGTAACTTCCAAGCTTCAATATACTGTTTGTGGTCATATGCCCACTGGCACACATACGTACCCGTGTACTTTACTGAACATCCTCCCACCTCCGTTAATTTGATTCTGTGAACTTGATTTTCATCTTATGTTGAATAAGGATAATTGTCAAAATTTTGAATAAATTACACTACACTTCAAGGTTAAATATATGGATCAAGGTTATAAATAATTGGCGTAGGTAGCTTACATGGTAATAGTGTCTCCTAATACCCCAATTATATGCTGTTAGCCATGATGGTAGTCAACTTCATGATTCAATTATTACCTTCTTATGCCAATGGTGGATGACCTCTCTTAATTTGAATGTTTATAACCATGGCATAGGCAAAAAATTATTAGTTTGTATACATTGTCTACAAGCATGCATCTTTCAATGTGCAAGTACCATTGTATGAAAATTATGGTGAATTCTGTATCATATACCCGTGCTTTATTCATCATATTTATCCTATATGATTGTTTGTACTTAAGTTTCTGGACTCCCTAGAGATGGCTTCATAAAATTTAACGCTTGAACGTGGAGTTTGATCTGTAAAAGTTCATGACTGTATGTGTAAGTTGAAACTTTTATCATCAACTAGTCGTACTAGTAAGTTGTAAATGCCCAATCTGGCTTGTCAAAACTCAAATGTGAAAGTTCTCTCTTAAATTTTATGCAGTTGTTGGGATGGCTAGTTGCGGCACCCTTTATTTTGGCCATACTCTACATCCTATTTTTGCCCATTTTCAAGTTCCTGGTTCCCAAGTTCAGCTCTGTCCATTTAAGTCCAAGGAAGTCGTTACCTTCGCATTCAGAGGTTGCACTTAAGGTGAGAGATGTTTGATTCATGCTATAATGTAAATGTTTCCTTTAGTCATTTTATTGATAGGGAATTACATTCTTCTCTCTCTTGCTAACAGAACTTCTTGTACTTAAATCTCCCTGAAATTTGCATGTGTATATCTGTAATGCTTTCTAAGCTGGTGTACCTTACCTGGACTATGTATAAAAATTTGTGATATTGGACAAACCAATGGTTGATGAACAGATACGAACTCTAGCATGTTTTCTAGTTGTTATATTCCTGGTTCAAGCAGTGTAATGATGCATTGTTTTCCTACAACTTCAAAGTTTTACATTCCTGGTTTCTTGTATGCCATCATCAAAAAGGGAGAAGGGCATCTGATTATTCCGGTATAAAAAAGGGCATGATCATAATGAGAAGCAAAATCAGTTTGATTCAGTTGCACTGCTGTTAGAACCATATATGTTTTGTGGAACAGAAGCACTGCAAATTTCTATACATTGGCTACAAATTCCAGATGGACTTAGGCCTTCTTCGAAATAAATCACATCAAATTCCATTAAACAATCGTAGTACAATGTTAGAATAAGAAGGTCACACACGTAAATGTAGTAATAAAATTAAAAAGTGGTTGAATTGAAGCCGATTAAATATGCCAGGATTACTTATCTGAAAAATCTGATTTATGCATATTATATAATCTAATGTCGAGTTAATTTTTAATTTTATGAGATAGATAATCTTGAACTTAATTTCTTCGTAATTGACAATTTAACAATGGTTGTTTCATTGGTGGTAATTTTCTTCTTAGCCAAACCGTTTGATGATAAAATTTTGGTTTCTGCCTAAAGGGGATGTCTTAATATTTATTAAGAACTTAAGCCTTCTACATTAGATATCTAATTTCAAATTTAAATCTTGTGATGGATTAGAAGAAATTTCGGAAGGAGAGTGCTATCTTTCTTATATATTTCATCATTCAACGTAACAAGAAAAATTTGTTACTGCCTTTAATTACATACCATATTTATATCTA